TTGTGTTAGAGAAACGCTTGAAATTACTCTCAAACTGATGTTAAACATATGTTTTACTGCCAACTACGTTCCAACTTTCTATCTAACGGAAAACATTATTAGAAAACTGAAGAAAACATGTTTTAATTCCTCTTAGAAAAATGTTTCTTACCGACATTATATGTTCATTAACACTGAGATTTACATCTATTAATATTACTGTAAGCTTCTAAAATAAACTACAACTCGGATTCAATTTTGAATCTACATTCTAGTTAATCGTACTGATATTTTAAAACCTAATCGATTAATTGACAACATATCTTCTAATTAGTATTATCGATAGCAATTGGTTAAAATTAAATCAGATCAGCTTGAAACTTGAGCTTGAACATGTAGCAGATATTCTGAAGCTGATGAATTATATGCATATTTGTAGAACATTTAATGCTAAATTGGGAGACTAGCTTGTGACACGTGAAATAATGCCTCTCAGTTATTGAATTAAGTAGATCAATAAGTAATATTGATTACTTCGACTTTCATTTTTTAAATTCCCAAACATAATTATAATTAAATTTTTTAATTATAAGATGTTTTATATCAACTGATTTGGCACATCAATTCCCAGAAATTTAGAATATTTTCATAGATCTATGCTTTTAAAATTTTTCCGTGTAATACATTTAGATTCGATGCTTTGCATCCAGAATAAAATCACTCTCGGTTTATTTTTTTTATTAAACAGGGATACCTGATTTCCATAAATATCTAGCTAAACTTTTTTTGGTGATAAGTGAACAAAAACTTTACTAACGATAGTATAAGCTACTTTTTACGTCTAAATCTACTAAAAAATCTACCTAAACTAGTTCCGATTCGTCAGAAAGTCGTCACTTTTCCCAGTTTTAAACTTAGGAGTTTTCTTTGCTTCCTGGCGCTAAGCTTGGAGAGCAAGTTCCTTGTTCCTTCGAGGATTTCCTTTTCGTCATCATCGTCTTGCTCATTGTCCTGACAGGACACAAATCCGCTTTCTGGGCGCGATATGGAAATGGGCTCAAGCAGCTCAAACCAGCGCTCCACTTTGGCAGCTGAGGAAAGCTGTTAAAGAAACACAACATAATATACACAATGAAACTATATTTTAGATTTGCAAATAATGCAAGTATTCATACACATTGGATATCTGCAGACATTCTGATACGGTTTCGATTTAATTCAAGCAACAAACATTAATTCTCGTCGCAGTTGAAATGCTTCTAAAAGTGTGATGTTACCGCTTAGTTAACAACAATTGGACTTTGGGGAACAATGAGATCATTTGATTATGCCAAACTGAAATAGCTTCACTGTTTCGTCGGTTAGGCCCCGCTGTAGTTAGTTGTTGCTTTGTCATTACCAGGTTTTCGAAGTTTCGATTAGAGCTTGACAATAGTTGGCTTCAAACTACATAGTAAGTCGGTTAATTTCTATTCAATTACTTTAACATAGTGTTGTTTATTAATGGTAATTGCGAACGCTTGCAGAATAAGCCATTCAGTCAATAACTCGTTTACCAGTGATCACTCTAGTTAACGTAGTAGTTTCAGAATTATAATATTATCAGGTATAGATGCAAATCTAAAGTTTTGTTTCAATTTTATTTAAATAGAAGTAAGGATATTTGCTTTGAGCTAGAATCAATCAAAACCACTTAGATTTATAAACGGTGTATTAACGTAAAATAATTTAAACGTCCTTCTCATATGAAAGCATAATTGCAGTTTGATGTAAAAGCTTCATTTTTGCTTCGTTTTTCATAAAAAAATGATTGAAGAGTAAAAAAGTTTACAGGAAATGTATGTGCTAAAGGACTTTATTCCAGCCAGAATTTGTTACCGTGGAAGAGAGGTCTGAGATAATTAAAAACAAGGCATGTTAAATACTTTTATTGAAAATCACGCAATGAGTTTTGTGTGTTAAACACGCTCTTTCATAATAATGTACAAAATATTTGGATATAGTATGTAAATAAATTTAAATACTCGAGTTCAGGCCGAGACAATTCCATCTAAATCATGGCAAGTGAAACAATGAAGAAAAAATGATTATTTAAAAAGTTTGTTCTGGGAATTATCCTATATTTAGTTATGCCGAGAGGATATTCGAATTACCATAAAATTTCTCAATCTTTTTCAGAAGTTCCATCCTGGATGATTCGCCGGCTAACTATATTTCAAATTTTAAAATCGAATTAAGCCCGACGACTTTCAGTAAGGAAATAAGAAGAAGCTATATTAGACTGCAAAGTTTTAATTATATTCTTGCTGCTTTCGCGTCGTTAAATTATGAGATATCTAAGTTCGGTCTTAATTTTTGGAGGAATCCATTAAAGGTCCGTCGTATTTAATTGGTATTGTTATTTAACTACTGATAAGGGTTCAGAGGGTTAAACCAAGAAAACGTAAAAAGAAATTCATATTTAATTTCAAGTTCTTAACGCTAAATCTTAAACTAAACTAACATGATTATATACATACATAAATAAATACTGTATTTTATTGAAATTAGTTAATTTTCAGAATATAAATTATATACATACTTAGAACTAGTAATAATAAATAAAGMAGCAAAAGCTACAAAAYACTTTCCTYAAAAACTGCATATTTTTCAATATACAGATATGTACGTCTCAATAGGACTTCGATCGGTACAGGGCGATACTGAAATATAACCGYACACGGTTTGTACAAAATGATACGAAATGTTTTATCCTYAGGACATAAATAACTMAATAAAGTACTCAACGTAACGATTCACCAGCYAATSAAGAGCATCAGAAAACTTTCAAAAACTGCTTGTGGCTTCATTCATGTTACAAATCAAAATTAATTCCTGGGTTTATCAAGCAATAAAATATCAATCAATTAAATTATTTTAATTGATAAATAGAGACAATAAATGACTGAAACCCAGGAATTAATTTTGATTTGGAATTGAAACACAGTCAGGAAAGTATGTACAATTCATGTTACAAMCGAAGAGTTTATAGACAGGGYTTCAAAAATAAGTTATTGTTTATCAAGTGTTGTCTTCAGAGGAACGTTGTAATGAGAGAACTTTAACTWTCGTTCTTATACAAGGTACAAGGCGTTCCGGGTAGTACAGCAACTTTAGGGGTCATTGCGAGTGTTATTTCGYCCTGACTATGTTGCCTACGTACATTCAAACTGCGAATTGATTTWTTCGTTTTTTTATTAAGTACAATGCGKAGCAWCAAATGCAGAGCAACAAACAAAAAGTTCGAATAAATTTAACTCGAAGACGACATATTCTCTTGCGTTTCGATCAAAAAACGTCCTTAAATGGCTATCGTCAAGTCTGTTTACYCTACAAGGATATGCATTCMAACGCTTTGACTGGATTYTMTTTAAATCATCTCACTTCTTTACRTCACYAGYATCTAWWAAAAAAWCGGTAATTAGCATAAAACTCATTTCCTGGGCTCATTGCTCATTTATWWKYTTTWTWKTCATAATYCATCTAGATTCACTTAAGTTAAGTAGTTCACATGGTTTGAATGCTTCTACCGSAAACACCTTGTATATCTGATGTTATTTTGAGAGATGAACTGTTGTATCAAGTAGTCACTTTCAAGACAAGTTCTCTTGAAACTGTAGGTTTAAAACAATTATTGATCCAATTACATTTTTTGATAGCCACTATGTACACGGAGTATATTTTGCCCTCTACATTCCATAAATATTTGGCTTCCGATTTCATATAATTGAGCTTACCATACCTTTACTTTTATACACACATTGAAGAAAATTTTCAAAAACAACTACTATTTATCTACTGTATTAAACTGATAAAAAATAATAGTTCTCTACAGGGTGATCCATAATTGGTGTCATTCCTTTGAAGGGATTTTCACTGAGATTTACTCGGATATTAGTAGAAAAAGTTTTTTCTTAAGAAAGAGAATAGCTATTTAAGAAGCAAATTGTGATGGACTGAACAATTTTAAAAATATGCCATTATCAAACCTGTATAAAGTTTTATTTCCTTGAGAATACTTCGAATCGGTCAAACTTTCGATTTAATAAAGATACTCGTAGCCATTGCAACCTTTTGAAAAAGCAAAATTTGTTGAAGGAAGAGATTGTGGCTGCAACTGAACAGCTGAGTGCTGAAGTCATCTGAAGGCTCATATCATGAGTACGATTAGAAATGTTTCGAGCAGATTTTCAGTGATATCGATAAATTCAAGAAAATTAGTATAAATTATTAGTTTAAATAAACGCTTTAGCTCGGTCGTACCTATTGACTTTTCTCACCAGGAAACTTTTCTTTAATATCAAGCAGTGATATGAGATCGAACCAATCTTGTGAACAATAAAATTGAGGCTGCAAAGTGATCTTGAGAGTTCTGTCACTGCCTGTAATTAAA